CTGAGCCTGCGCGTCCGGAGCCTGTGCTCCGCAACGGGAGAGGCCACAGCAGTGAGGGGCCCGCGTACCCCAAAAAAAATTAAAAAAAAAAAAAAAAGATCACGAGTGGCAAAGGGCCTTGCCCAGAGGCACACAGAAGTGGGTGTGCCTTCATTCATGCCCCTCCTCCCTCTCACTGGGTTCCCCCACTGTGTCTTCCCCCAGCCCGGATGCTGCCCATCCGGGTCGAAGCAGCAGCCACATTCCCCCCAGTGTCTCCTCTCAACCCTGACTCCTAGCCAGGCTGCCCTCTGGCTAAACTGCCCACCAACCCCTCTCCCATGTCCCACTTTCTGCCAGAGAGGGAGCACATTCCAGTCACCCTCCACACGTGCATACGGTGTATGCGGGGGAGACCAAGAATGCATCCATTCTGCACTTAACAGGGATCCACAGCATCTTTCCGGAAGTTGAAAGGGAAGATGAATGGCGCAGAACTGAACCTGTAGGAGGGCTCTGTGGATGGGATAAAAACCAGATGACTCAGGACACCCCCTTAGAGTGCGTCACTTCCTGTCTCGACCTCAGTCTCCTCAGCGAAGCTTGGAGGGATTCTGGCCCTGCTGTTCCAAGATTACATTCCTACATGCTTTGCCTCCCCTCTCCCCCAGTCCTGCCCGGCAACCTCATCCTTCAGGAGAGCCTCAGGACTCACGCGAGTTGCACCGGGCCCCGAAGAATCCAGGTTTGCATCGACAGAGGCCTGGTTTCACACATACCTCGTCTTCCCGGCAGACGTCCAGCCCCTCGCAGATGGCTGAAAAACACCCCACCCAGGTTGGAAGGACTGGGGTGCGGCCAGGGGACACTCTGCCCCTTTCACTGACTCCCGGTGGCCTGCCCCCCTCCAGAGCTGTTTCCCCAGGGCTGGGTCACAACATGGACCCTAGCTCTAGGGCTCAGGAGGGCAAACAGACCCCAGGAAGGTAGGAAGGAAGGGTCACTGGGCTCTGTCCTCCCTTCTCCTCCGGTGGGGGGTGCATCCTGGCTACTCACGGGTGGTGCATTCTCGATCATTCTGCCTCCAGCCTGGGCAGCAATGGAGCTCAGCAGAGGGGCTGTGGGGCAGAGAGGGGTCAGCCGGGGGGCAGCCTGGCTCCGCAGGTGGATCACTGTCTCCCTGAGACATGGGATGCTGCCTCAGCCCCATCGGGCAGGCCTGGCCAAGGGTCACAGCCCCAGTGTCCCCGACCCCTTCCCGCTCTGTCCCTGGCCATCCCACCATCTGCCCCCACTACCCACCACCCTCCAGGCTGTCCCCAAGCCCCTCTCGCTTTAGCCCCTCTTTCCTCGTGTCCTCCTCCCCCCAATCAGACCCCCAGAAGACCCACCTGCTGGCCATGCAGACGTGCCGCCCATTGGGGTCCAGCTCAGACCCCTGGGTCCCCCGAGTCCAGAGCAGCAGCAGAAGGAACAGGAGCCCCAGCCCCATGGCGGCCAGTGCAGTGGGAAGGCTTGGGTTAGTCTGGCCCCCACAGCTCCCAACCCCCTCCCTGCTTCCTCCCAAGGCTTTTCCTGAGGAAACCAGGCCGGAGGGGCGGGCTGCCATGAGGCACCTCCCTGAGAGGGTGGGCAGGCGCAGAGAGGACCAGACGCCACAGTACTGAAAGGAAAAGGAAGGTCAATGGCGAGGGCTGAGCAGGGGCTTCAGGGTCTGGTCTCAGTCTGGAGGGGGCAGGAAGATGAGGCTGTAAGTTACGGGTACTGGGATAGGCAAGGGGGTGAGCCGTGGATATCCACTAGGTCACACTCCCCACTGGAGGTCCACGCTGGGAGAAGCCTCCCCAGCCAGTGACAACCAAGGGGAACTTCCTGGCAGAGCTGGGCAGGGGCAGACCACTGACAGACAGACATGGAGCAGTTTCTGGGTATCACGGGCAGTTGCTTTATTACATTAGCTTAGGCCATCCGTACAAACACCTGGGAGAGGGGTAGTCAACTCTCCATTTCATGGATGGGGAAACTGAAACTCACAGAAGCAGCACTTTTATCTGGCCCTGGAGGCTTGGCACAGAGATACAGGAAGGAAGGTAGGTTGAGCTCCACGTCACACCCTGGCTCAGGCCAGGGTTAGAAAAGAGCCTGGGGAGGGAGGGGAATGAGGGAGCCCTGTCCTCATTTGAGGTCATACATCCACCCCCAGATAGACTCCGGAGTCAGGCAGGCCTCTGGGGCAGCTGAGACCCCAGATGAAGATATTCATTGAGAGCAGAGCAGGGCCGGTCAGGAGTTGGGGGCTGTCAGGCTGCGCACAGGCCCCACGGGGGTGGCTGTGGAGCCTCCTCTTCTCTCCGTATTCTCGCTGGTAGCCGCAATGCTGGCCTCAGCTTCAGGGGCCTCTGTTCCACCCTGACACCACAGGCCCAAGCTGGGGGGAGAGCCAAGAGGTGCTTTGAGCCTGGACGCCAGGAAGGTCAAGGATAGGGGCCGAAGGCAGGGGGTGCTGTAAAAAGGGGACTCAAGAGGACAACAGGGCAGCATGAGGCAGGGGGAGGTAAAGGGGCCACCAGAGGAGCAGGAGGGGACGGGCATGCTCAGAGCTCAGGGCGGCCGGGTGAGCCGCAGTGGGGCGGGAAAGGTGGGGTCCCTCCACTCCCGCCACATTTGTCCTTCCTCTTCCCCCAACATACAAACTCTGTATTCTGGACTCAGGGGGTGGGGGCTGGAGGTGGTCTCCCTTATCCCTGGAGAGCAGGAGCCATGAGCCATCCTCATCGTCACTGAGGCAGAGGAGAGAGGAGTTGTGAGGGTCATTTGTCAAGGCCCTGAGGGACAGCGGGACTCCAGCTATGTTCAGCCTTCTGTGCAGCCCCCAGGAGCACGCAGGGGAGGACGAAGTGACTTCAGGGGCCGCAAAGCTGGAGACAAGGAAAAGCAGGAGAGACGGAGGACAACTAGAGGTTGTTTTTCCTTTTTGGCGTGCGGGATCTTAGTTCCCCGACCAGGGATCGAACCCATGCCCCCTGCAGTGGAAGCACGGAGTCTTAACCACTGGACCGCCAGGGAAGCCCCCTCCTGAGGCTTTTATTTTCTAGCCTGACACACAGCAGGCCCCTGACAAGACTGCAGATACAGCCTTACCCATCTGAGAACAAACAGATATGCAGCCAAGACAAGAAACCGAAAACTGACTGTGGAGAAGCAGAATTAGCAGGTTTCTGCAGCAGGATGTACGGGGAGCATGGCAGGTGGGAGCAGTGCGATCCAGAGAGAAGGGTGGTGGGCTCAGGATGGCAGGCTCAGGGGACGACCAGGCCAGGTTAGGTGCTAGAAGTGACTAAGCTAGGTGACAGGCTCAAGGTGTGACTAGATTGGGGTGACAGGTACAGTCTGAGGCAACAGGCTCAGAAGGTGACCAGGCTCAGTGGGAACGGAGGCAGGGACTTACCTGCTCTCTGCTTCCTCTGGGGTCCCTAACATCTTGGCCTTGATCTTCCTTCGTTGCTTCCTGATAGCCACCTTCATGGCTTCGAGCAGAAGCCCGGGGACCCGGTGGTCTGTGAGCAGCTCCCTACAGAGGAGGGGGAGGGGCAGAGAAAAAGCAGTGGGGATGCCAAGAGTAGGTCTCGTCCCAAGTACCTGTGAATGTTGTTCCCCCTTTTGGAAACGCTCTGCCTTGCTAACCCCCCGACCTTAGTTTAGATGTTGCCCCTCCTAGGAATACTCCCTTGATGGCTGCTGTGACCCTTTGCAATGGCCCACCCCATGCGGAAAAAGTTCCAGGAGGGCAGGGGCTTTGTGATTCTCGTCCTCCAGTGCCCAGCACAGTGCCCGGCACACAACAGCTTGGATACATCGATGACCCAAAGAATGAGGAGGGTGAACCGAGGCCTGGAACAGGTGCAAGTGGTGCCCCCGAGCCTCCCCACCCCTGTCCTGTGCCCTCACCGCTGGAAGTAGGCCAGCTCCTCCTGCAGCAGGAACACGTTGGCTTTGAGCTCATTCCTCTCCTGAAGGATCTGTTCAACCTCCTCTCGACTGAAGCCGCACTGCCCTACCTTGGGGGGGCGTCCTGGCGGCGGCAGGGCATCCGCCTGCGGAAGGACAGGCTTGGTCAGGGGGGCGCCTCGGTTGGAGAGGGACGCTAGAGGGTGACTGGCAGGGAGACTTGGGAGGCCAGGGCGCTACAACAGATGCCAGACCGGTGCTCTGGCTGAGACTGGGGGCGGAGGCCGGCTGGGGACGCACACTCGTGCCACCTTCCAACTTCCCGGTGGCCCTAACTACGCAGCACAGCAAACCTTTCCCGAGTGCCGGACCGGTCCCTGACCTCATCCGGCACTTACCCGGTCCCCAGGAGTCCCCGGGGCACCTGTGCCCGCGGCTGCCGTCTCGGGCTCCTGCCTCTGCTCGCACCCGGGCGCCGCGGCCTGGCCGTGCGCCTGCTCTAGCGCGGGCTCCAAGGTCGCTTCGCGCCGCCGCTCTGATTCGCTCTCGCGGTCCCGCGCGGCGCGCAGCTGGGTTTGTACTGCGGCCAGCTTGCGCCGCAACTCCGCATTCACCAGCAGGAGGCGCTGCAGCTGCTCCTGCAACTGTGGGCGGAGCAAAGGGGGCTGGTGGGCGGGGCGCCGGAGGGCCGGGAGAGTCCCGCCCCCGCACGTTGCCCCGCCCTGCCCTCACCGCCTCAGTCTCCTGGCTGCGCTGCCGCAGGTCGCGGTTGTGCGCCCGGAGTTCATCCCGCTGGCGGTCGGTCACCTCCTTGAGCTGCCGCAGCAGAGCGCGCTCCTCTGAGGAAGGGGCGTTCTCAGCGGCGGCCCGCGGGGAGAGGCCCTGAGCCTCCCCGCCCCGGTCCCCGGCAGGCGCGCACTCACCCTGTGGTCCGGAGCGCAGCTCTCTGCGGAGGCGCTCGTTCTCCTCCCGCAGCCGCCGCAGTTCGAGTTCGGCCTGCTGCGCGGATACCTGCCGCTGGAGAGGCCACGCCGTCAGGGCCGGGCGAGCCTCCCCACCCCTGTCCTGTGCCCTCACCGCTGGAAGTAGGCCAGCTCCTCCTGCAGCAGGAACACGTTGGCTTTGAGCTCATTCCTCTCCTGAAGGATCTGTTCAACCTCCTCTCGACTGAAGCCGCACTGCCCTACCTTGGGGGGGCGTCCTGGCGGCGGCAGGGCATCCGCCTGCGGAAGGACAGGCTTGGTCAGGGGGGCGCCTCGGTTGGAGAGGGACGCTAGAGGGTGACTGGCAGGGAGACTTGGGAGGCCAGGGCGCTACAACAGATGCCAGACCGGTGCTCTGGCTGAGACTGGGGGCGGAGGCCGGCTGGGGACGCACACTCGTGCCACCTTCCAACTTCCCGGTGGCCCTAACTACGCAGCACAGCAAACCTTTCCCGAGTGCCGGACCGGTCCCTGACCTCATCCGGCACTTACCCGGTCCCCAGGAGTCCCCGGGGCACCTGTGCCCGCGGCTGCCGTCTCGGGCTCCTGCCTCTGCTCGCACCCGGGCGCCGCGGCCTGGCCGTGCGCCTGCTCTAGCGCGGGCTCCAAGGTCGCTTCGCGCCGCCGCTCTGATTCGCTCTCGCGGTCCCGCGCGGCGCGCAGCTGGGTTTGTACTGCGGCCAGCTTGCGCCGCAACTCCGCATTCACCAGCAGGAGGCGCTGCAGCTGCTCCTGCAACTGTGGGCGGAGCAAAGGGGGCTGGTGGGCGGGGCGCCGGAGGGCCGGGAGAGTCCCGCCCCCGCACGTTGCCCCGCCCTGCCCTCACCGCCTCAGTCTCCTGGCTGCGCTGCCGCAGGTCGCGGTTGTGCGCCCGGAGTTCATCCCGCTGGCGGTCGGTCACCTCCTTGAGCTGCCGCAGCAGAGCGCGCTCCTCTGAGGAAGGGGCGTTCTCAGCGGCGGCCCGCGGGGAGAGGCCCTGAGCCTCCCCGCCCCGGTCCCCGGCAGGCGCGCACTCACCCTGTGGTCCGGAGCGCAGCTCTCTGCGGAGGCGCTCGTTCTCCTCCCGCAGCCGCCGCAGTTCGAGTTCGGCCTGCTGCGCGGATACCTGCCGCTGGAGAGGCCACGCCGTCAGGGCCGGGCCCCGCCAGCCCGCGGGCGGCTACGGGAGGGCGCCGTGACTCACCGAGTCCGGGGCGGGCCCCACGGCCGCCTTTTCCAGAAGCTCCAGCGCCTGCACCACCAGCGGCACGAGCCCGGCCACCGCCTCCGGCCCGAAGCGGCGCGCCAGCTCCTTCAGCTCAGTGCCCAAGGCCCCCGCTAGGTGGTACACGAGCTCCGCAGCCGTCCCCGACCCCGCGGCCACCCGAGGCCCCCAGCAGTGCGCCCCAGGCCCCACCCTCCTGGGCTCCATGTCCCCCGAAGGCGACTAGGGCTGCTACACCCTCCTCCCCACAACTGGGGAAGGAAAAGGCCAACCAGTCCTGGCCCAGGAAGCAGTTTAGGACGGTAGAGGGCGGGGTAGAAGCGACAAGGGAGGAGCGATTAAGGGAAAAAGGCTGGGGAAGGAGAGCCTCAGTGCCCTGCTCCCTGTCCTGTTCAAGCCCCCAAGGTCACAGGAAGCAGGACAGCCAACTTCCAGCCAGGTGTCCAGGAGCTGAGGCTCAGGGCTGTAAGTGGTCACTTTCGACAAGCCCTCCCCACAGTGCCCACACCAGGCTCCACCCCTGTGTCTGGAGTCATGGGGCCTGACTTGGCTGCCAACTCTCCAGGCAAGAGGTGAGAGGTAGGAGAGCTGTCACTGGCCTCAACCAGAGGCAGCCGACTGTCCAGCCATGTGCCTGTTTCCAAGACAGACTGAGAGTGACACAAAACTTAAAGGGCTAGGCTGGGCACCACAGCTGCAGACTGCTCCAAGAGATGTTGGAAAGCCGTGAGTGTTCCCAAGTATTTTGGAGGGAAATTAGCAAATGTCCTCATGGCAGCAGGAGTGTGAAGGCCCAAGTCCCCTTCAGTTCTCTGAGTTTAGAGAATATTTACCCCCACAGCTCCTGAATATGAGGGGGGCCTCAAGGATCAGTCCAGCAGCTTGCTGTGCACAAGTCTGGCCTCTGCCACCCTTACACCCAGAATTCGAGCTGAGGGGAAAAAAAACCCTCAAAAACTCCTATTTATACAAAATTTATTATACTTTGTTCAGAATTACAAGTCACCACGAGGTCAACAACAAAAGCACAAAACAGAGGAAAATGGGGCCAAGCTGTTGAATGTCACCAGCTTGTCTGTGAGGGTAAAAGGCTCTAGCCGCTGGGGAATCTGAAGCAGGAGGTGAGGAGACAACTAGGCGTAGAGGTCCTCTCGGTCCGCAGAGTAGACCTCACCCTCCTGCAGGAGAGCAAAGTTGAGGAAGTGGGAGGGCCTGTGCACCTCGTGGTAGAACTCTTTGGGGTTTGCCAGCTGCAGCTCATACTTCATGTTGGGATCATGCCGAACACCTTGGAGTAGAAGAAAAGGGCCAGTGTTGACAAGGTCCACCTGCCTCACCCTGCTGGGTCCTGGGCCATATCCAAACCAGAGTCCGGCCCCAAGTGCTCAGGGTGATGGCCTAACCCCAAGCCCACCTTCCTGTGTGCCCCGCCACCACCCCACACCCTGCCTCACATACCCATAAAGTTGTAGTTCCATGAGGACTGGGCAGGGACCATAAAGAAGCCAAGGAAGCGGTCTGACAGTAGCATCTGGACCCTCTCGTAGTGCGAGGGTAGGTAGCCCTTGGGGTTGTTGCCCTTGTCTGTGTTCTGGCGGCCCCATTCATAGCCACTGGGGGTCAGCTTGTAGGCTGTCAGGGTGCAGGAGCCTGGTGTGAAGCTGGAAGAGGAATGAGGACAGAGTCAGCGCTCAGGCCACCATTCCTGGGCCCTGGCCTGCAATGCCTGCCCCATCGTACCTCCTCCCAAGGCGGCCCAACCCCACCTGCAGGTGATGATAATGGTCTTCTCGCCATCCCAAGATGGGTTGTCAGCCATGATCTTGGCATGGGTGGTGACATCCTGGGGTGACAGCTGGGGGGACTCGTTGGGCTGAGTGTGGATCCAACCTAAGGGTTCCATCTCCTATGGGTAGAGCAGTGAAAAGCTATTTAGAGCCCCGTCTGCAGACAGGAATCCCACCCATGAGAGTAACACCTCTGCCTTCCCTCCACCACCTTGAGAGCAGAAAGCGCCGGTTCTCCTACACCCCCGCTAACCTTGAGGTACTCATGCTGGGGCAGCTGGCCAGGCAGGTGCACAGTCTGGTGAGTGCCCCACTGTGGTACCATCACGATGCAGCGGATCTCCTTCACCTGGGGGTTATCTGGTGGGCTCACCCCATAGAGGTACCCTGCAATCTGGAGACAAGGGGGTCAAGAGCCCAAGAGATTCTTAGTACCAGCCCAGATTTGGGGCCATCAGCCCTGTGTTTAATTCCCTTCTCCAAGAACAAGGACAGAGTTTCTCAAAATGTGGCCAGAATCTCCTGCATCAAAAACGCCTGGGGGTGCTTATTCAAAATGTTAAACACAGACTTCATCTCAGACTTATCACATCAGAATCTCAAGTGGGGTCCAGAAATCGGCACTGCTCAGACATTCCCCAGTTGATTACTTAATTATTTAAGTACAGTGTCCATAAACAAATGAGCACACAAGCACAGAGCTCATGCATTTCCACAAACTGAACACATCTATAAAATCAGCACTCAGCAGTACTTTAAATTTTACATTGTCATGAACAAAGTAAGAAAACTTGTGTTCCTATAAACTCACCCAACACAGGATACTAACAATCTTCAAATTCACCAAACTGAGGCCACAAGTTGGGTGTTTTATAAAATATGATGCTCCCTGATTACCAGTAAAGTTGACCATCTTTTCATGTATTTTCCACCTCCAGTTCCTTTTCTGAACTATCTTCACACTCCTTTGCCCATTCTTCTACAGTTATCTTTTATAAAAATCAACTTCTGAGAATTCCCTATTCTGGATCCAGACCCCACTATATCTTAGAGTTACGCAAATATTTTCTTCCTGTTTTTAGTTTGTCTTTTGTGGTACCCTTTGTCACACACAAATTATTAATTTTGATGATGGCTTTGTGTCTTGTTTAAGAAGGTTATCCTAACTTTAAGACGATAAATATTTTCTTCTAATATTCCACTACAGTTTAGTATTTTATGTTCAGATTTGTACTCCACCTGGATTTGACTTCTGTTAAGTGCTATGAGGCAGGGGATCAAGCCTCCTTTTGTTGACTGTTTCAGTATAAGGCACGCTTAATCCCACAGAGGAAGTGGGATCCTCAAGTGATACAACACATTTATTATATACACATGAATCTGTTTCTATATATCCTCTTCCAATAACTTCTAGGCCAAAAATATATCATTTCTCAATTGCCATAGCTTTATAATGTTTTGGTATCTGGTGGGGGCCGAAACCCTCCTCCCTCCCTGTTTTGGCTATCCTTGTATATTTACTCATATATCAATTTCAAAACCAGCACCTCCAGTTCCAGGAAATCTCAGGTGAGTTTTAGGCACATAAAATGTTTGGCACACACTGTGGCCTAGTTGAACAAACATACTCACTTGGGCCCGAAGGTCAGATATGCAGATAAACTTCTTAAGCACATTCTTGGGAAGAATATAGGTATAACCAGTCTCCTTGATGTCATCAGATGAAACATAGATATGGTTGGTCCTTAGGTGCAGGTTGGCGGCAGAGATGGCCCTAAAAACAGGTAGGGAATGTTGGCATTTCTCAACTCAAGCACCTTAGGTAGCACCAGAGGCCTTTCCATCCCTATCCCTCTTGCCCCTTATACTACCTGACCCTCCATTCAGTCTTAGATGAGAAAGTCTGGGTCTCATAGTTGCTGGTGGTAGAGGTGATGATTTCGTCACCATGCTTGTTGACAGTACGAGTCTGGGTTGCAGTCAGCTGTGACTGTTCCTTGGTCTGCTTCTCAATCTCAGCTATCTGCTGCCGCTGCTGTGATGGTGCAGAGATCTCCATACCCAGGATGATGTCTCGAATTTCTGATTGTGTCAGTGATGCCACATTCACACTGTGGGGACAGTGTGGGTCACACCACAAGGATCCCTTCCCCTTGGTCACTTACGCCCCAATGGCAAGGTGTAACTTGGTGGGACAGGGAGCCCATACTCTGACCCCAGATAATCTTCAATTGACACGTGAAGTGTGAAGTGGAAATACATTAATACGCTGGCCCTGTGCCTGTACACCTTTCAGCCATGCTCAAACCTGCTCAGCATCCATACCTCCCACTTTCCTCAATAGAAAGTGCCCTGGAACTGGAAAAACTCTCAAAAATGGGAATCCTAGAACAAGCTCTCAAGCCCCAATGACAAGGAAGGAGAGAGAAGGAAGGGTGTGTGTGTGTGTGTGTGTGTGTGTGTGTGTGTGTGTGAGATCGGAAGCGGGTCAGCTCTTGGAAATAAAGGGAACGGCTGGTGCTTTTTTGAAAGCCCTTGTTTTTTTTTTTT